CGTGCGTGCGTGCGTACTCTATTTCACTTTAACCTAAACGAGTCCTGATATCCGTCAACACAAGATTTTGAAGGCTTTAAATCTATAATAGAGTTGTATAAAGAGTTCCGCCAAATGGCGGCAAAAAACACAAATTAAAATTATTGAAACACAAATCAAGAGTAATTATCAATGTAAGAACATCGAACTGAAACACAGGTTCGGAGTTCTGAATTAAAACATAAACTTTTCTTGTAGTTATGAACGTATTACAGCCTTTTCTAAAGAGTCCTAATACTGTGTACGATTTTTAAATAGATAAAAACCGGTCATATGGATATTATTATTGAAATGAGAACAAAGAAAGAAAGGAACTATAATCTCGTCACGCCGTTGATTCTTGATCACGTTAAGAACGAGAAAAAATATAATTAATATAATTATTAAACACAGATTTACAAACACAGGTAAATAAATTTTGATGATCAGAAATTTTTAGAAAGCGTTAGAATACATTCAAACCTAAACGAAAAGTGTATTGGAACTGTCACAACTATCAACATTTAGACATCTTATAATAATATCCATATGGCAGGTTTTTATTTATTTAAAAATCGTACATCACCGCTAGGTCCAGAACTTTTTAGAAAATACTGTAAAATATTCAGAACTACAAAAGTTTTTGTATTTTTTATATTTTAAATCAAAACTCTGACATTTCGATTAATGTCTTATACCTTTCTGTCTGAATACGTGACGCTCGGTTGGTTTTTATTTACTTAAAAATCGTATGTTATCGGCAGATAACGCCCAGACTCTTTAGAAAATGCTTTAAGATGTTCAGAATTGCATGAGAAAATGTTCTTTAGAAAATTTTCTCTAGAAAATGTTCTAATATGCACTCTTGGAAAATTTGTGTATTTTTGTTAAAAATTTTTAAAGTTTTTGTGTTAAATAATCTGCATATTTACGTGTAAATTTAATAAATGTTTGCTATGTTAACTGATCTTAATAAATATAAAATGTTGTTATAGCCATATCTACAATTAAGAATAAAAGTAGTTCGCATGACCACAGTAAAATTCGAGGTGAGTCTTTCGAAAGATCGCAGAAGTGCAAGATCGCAAAAAAACTGCGATCAGTCTTTCGAAAGACCGCTGAAACGCGCCGCATAAAATCATTGCGAAAAGCCGATCAGCAAATTCCTTAATTGGGCGCCTCGAACTGAGCGCGCGATTAATTAACGAATACTGCGAAATCAATCGATGAACCTGATCAGAACGCTGATCGGGCATAGATTATTACCATATAATCAGTTACCCGAGGACGCGGAGTCAAAAATAGAAACTAATCGAAGTCGCACAAGATATTAGCAAAGTCCGTCACTGAGTTTCACGTGAGCCGCGATAACAGATTTTCGAATATCGTACCCGGTCATCGGCCGCCCGAGTAACGCGAGCCGCGCCGAGCCGCCTGACGACATCCAAAATCGTGCGTAAGAAATATAGCGTGTCGACAAGTGTAATACTTTTCAATTGTGCTATCAGAATAAATCTATCTTTGATCCAAAGTATGTGAATTTGAGGAGAATCCTTCACCCAACGATCCTGCCCGAGATTCCAACCCTTTAGGCTTGGCAACCCCCCTTTTCCAGATAATAAGTTTGTGTCCATCTGGGGTACAACAATGTAAAATTATAAAAATGATTTTAAAAATATGTTAAAATACCACAATTGTACATATTTATTAAATATGTAAAATGTACAAAAAAAAATATTGATTTTATTCTATAACAGAAGTGGGAACGGTTGCGCGTTATTTATTATACGCATTCTTTTTTTTGTAGTTCAACTTTTGACACCATAATGCGGCGGTTTCACCATCTTCAGTGTCTTGTAGTGTATAATGTTAGAAGTATTAGAACTATTTTGTCTACTTTAATAAATAAATCTTGTATGTATGATGTAAATCTTGTATATTTTTATTTCGTTGCTATTATATTTTAATTGGATTTAAAATTTACTAATTATAATGATTTCATTGTAAACAATATATTACATATAACTACTAATTTACATGTAATTGGTAATAAATTATTTATTTAGATAAAAATGTAAAATTTCAAGGTATTAATTTAATGTTAAATAAATTTATACGTTCATCTTCATCTGAAGATTTGACTAATTTCAGTAAAATATTATTAATTTTTTTCTATAGATTCTGGAGTATATGTTAAATTTTGTCATAAAAATTATGTTAATTGTACACATAATTTACCTTAAATTAAGATCAACATTTCAAATCCATTTTATTATCTTAATAATTATTTGATGATCTTAGTTTTATAAAAAGAGGATAAGAAGAGAGAGCATGTACCGCGAAGAGGGCCAACAAACCAGTCGTAAAAATCCGTAATTATTTTTGCGAAAAATATCACTTCCAACCAGGAATCGAACCTGGGATCTCCTGTTTACCGGGCAGACATCTTATCCTTTCGACTATCAGAGGCAAGTGACGATATTTATCGTAAATAACGTGTTTAGAATAACACGTCACAATTCAATGACACGCATGCACGCACGCACGCACGCATAAATGAATTTTTGTGATATTCCCCTATTCGTAATAAGTGTCTAAGCCTAATTATAAGAATTCTACGTCGTCTCTTCTTATAAGCTAGTAATCTAGCAATAGTAACTGTGTAAATACAGACTGCAGAATTTTTATATTAAGCACATACTTTCATCAAGTGACAGCTCTCGATGGTAGGAGATCGTAAAAAAAAATGTAAATTAAAATTAAATGTAAATATAAAAAAATGTAAATTAAAATTTCTCTCATTCTTAGTATCATATTCATATGTTAAGCACGTATTAATGCATAAACTTTAATTGTAGAAAAGGATTTCCAGATCTATAAAGTTAATAAAAAATGAGAGAGATGCAAAAATTACGTTTTGTCGGTAATACAGGTAGATAAGTTTAGCATTCCCTTAATACCGACGATCAAACGTATAAAGCGTTCTGCTCGTATCGGCCGACTAGACTTATTTTTTAAAAATCAATTTCTTCGAAACTATGGGCCATTTGCAAGAACGGCTGAACACGTATCGTTTTTTTTTCTCCTCCCCAAGAACAGCCTGCATAAAGTGCATCAAAATACTCTAGTCACTGAGTTAGTTCCCCTTGTTAGTTACAATTTGAACAATCTATTTAATTTAAATTTTAACTGATGCCCTTATGCATAAACATATATAAAATTATTAATTAAAATAAAATTACTTTAATAAAATAACTTTTAATATTACATTACTGAAATAAAATAACTTTTAATATCACATTAAAGGATATTAGGTTCTATCTACTATATATATTCAAAGAGAGAGAGAGAGAGAGAGAGAGAGAGAGAGAGAGAGAGAGAGAGAGAAGTAAGAAGAA